GAAATTGTGTCCCATGGCTTGTGTTATAACTTGTTAAGAAAGAATGAAGTCCAAATGAGTTTTTGGTAGTTTTCCAGTAATACACAGCTAAGCCAACGTTTTGGTTTTTTTTAACAGTTCATCATCTAAAAGTAGCAACATGACCCTTTTTCATTTGCTAAAGGAAAATATGAACCTAATGGGGGGAAAAAAACCCAAACAAACCCCTTTTTAAATAATATAACTATTCATTGGAAAATGATAAACGCAAGGCATACATATTCATCAACTTTTTGGTTCTAGTGAGTGAAAATAGTTTTCGGAAGATAAACTGGAGTAGCTACTTTAGGTACTGGAAGAGTTCTAATGACAATCTGCAGATGCTATATGCCATACAAAGGGAGTTGATCACAAAATGCAGCAAAAGTTGATTCTAAGCAAATGACAGCACATGAACAGTATAATAGTGATAGGTTACATAAACTATGTAGCTGGATTTAAAATACATTATTTAATACATGGTTTAAATTTGAATTGTATTTAATATATGATTTAAAATATATTATTTAAATATTATGAAATGGTCAAATAAAGTGTATGTGTTTTATCGTGCTCTTTGTTAATTGCTTTTATGTTCCTTAGGATCTTTGATGATCTTTGAGAAATTCTGTTCCTTGTGACAAAAATGCCTGTTTTTTAATCACTTTCAGGTCTCTTGTAGCTAACCTCGCTGCTGCTAATTGCTATAAGAAGGAAAAGCATCTTGATTTGGAGAAGAACTGGAAGTTGGTGGAAAAGGCCAAAGTTTATTATATAGCAGTAAGTTCAGCTCCTTTCAGATTCCTAAAATTTGTGTTACAACATTGTGAGGTTTAAGCAATGAACGTCTGTTGCATATGGTTTAGGATGTTTTCATAGGAATACGATGAAAGAAAATGACTGCTTCAATTTCAGCATAGTTTGATTTCTTCAAATTTAAATGTACAAATGCAGAAGTATGTTTTAGTTGTGTGCTTTCTTAAATTAGTGGGAAAAAATCATAAGAACTAAACATTTTCAGAGCTTTTGTAGTAGTGCATCAAATTTACATTTCACATTTTCTAGTAAATTGTTGTGAAGGATGCACAAATTATGTACAAAAACACTATTAGCATAATTATTCACTGCAAACAGTTTGAGCTTATTTGTGTGAACAATCTTAATTGCTATTTATTCCATAGTAATTACTACGGCACCTTATAACTCAATATTTCAGAAACAATGATTGTGACAGATCTCTTGAACGTGGGCGGTGGAGCAACTGATTTTAATGATGAAAACTTACTTCTGGAATAAAGGGGTTTTGAGGATGGGGCATTAGTAGATTCACAATTAGTATTCTTTTTTTACCATCCAGAATGAATCAAGACAGATTAGTGTATTTGTGTAGATTACATCTTGCCTAAATAGAAGTGGTGAATTTGTTTTCATCTTGCACTCAAGTTGATATGACTGATCAAAATTAGCAAACATAAAACATCTATGACAGATTAAAACCTCATAACATGCATGTAATATATAGATTCTGTATGACAGCTGCTTCCATTCTGCTACCTGAGCTATGTGGGAACAGCTGGTAAGAAGTGTAAAAAATTGATTATCCAGGAGGAACAAGTTCATTGAAAATACAGTTATTTCTTTTAGCTAGTGTTAATGTCTCCTACAGCCTGTTAGTGTGCACTGCTGTAGGCTTTACATGGTTGTTATTGATTCTTGTGTATGGCCAAGACTGCCCCTTTATAACTGTCAAAAAATACTTACAACCTTCTCAGTATAAAAAGAAAATACATACCACTGCTATGACCATATGTTTGTGCTGCGGTTAAAAAAATATGTAGGTGCATTGTCTACTCATTTTTTATTTCTGTTTTTCAAGTGTTCTGAGTTTTTTATTCCCAATAATTATACCTCAGTCTGTTCCAAATGCCATGCTTAGGAATTAATGCTACTGGCTAAAAAAATATTGTAAGGCTAAGAGTATAGTTTAAATAAAGAAGAATGATAGATGTTACCAAGAGCTATACTGCACTAAGTTTTTTTTTAATTTTACCATGCTTATATGTAATTACCAATGAAGCTTCCGATATACAATTTAGAAAAATTAAAATTAGTGGAGATGTTTCAGGAAAAGTAGGAAACATTACATGAGGTGAAAAACAGGTTTGGGTTTTTTAAGATATAGCCTTCATCTTATTTTATTTCCGAAGCCACTATTCTGTGTTCAGTCAGTTTGATCACTTTAAATGTTGACTAGGTGGTTCACTACACTTATTTTCATATATATTCTTCAGATGCCAGCTCTACGACATCCAAGCTTTGGCTAAGAGACAGAGAATTATTGTGCTAAACTGAAAATAAAACCCAAGATTTGCATATGTTAATGGATAAATGAATAACACTGAAGTGCTAATAAATTATATTAGATATTTGCAAAATGGAGTTCAGATTAGGCAAACCTCTGATTGCAGGAGGAGATCTGTTGGGTAGAGAACCTGGTTCTCACATGTAGCAAAAGCACTCAAGGATTGGTTCATTTAAGAGATTTCTAGGACAGCGTTATCACTTCAGATTACAGATTGCATGTGTAACTTTACTTAAGGAAAGGAGACAATGTGTAGAACCGTACATGTTCCCTCATGCTACAGTGCATTCATGTCTTTTTCTTTCATTTAGCTTCTTTATTTGCAGGTTTGTAGCAGTTTACCAGATTAAACAAAACCATATAGTGAACAATTACCACTCCTGAGGGTAGCTCACTGAGTCATTAATTTGTGTGCTGTTGTCTGTCTTCACTTTAGTCTTGTTACCCTCCTTGGCTTTTCACTGTGCATGTGTTGCTTTTCATTTCCTTCTTTCTATCTGACTGTCACGTATTTCTTGGATTGCATTAGGATGTGTGTTAGTGACAGATACTTATTCTGGAAATCCGTGTCCTGAGATTATCAAACAATTTATTTTCTTGGCAGAGCAGGGCAGTTGTTGCTTTAGGACTGGTCTGTGATATCCTGTGGTCATCTTCCTGTATGTGCTTCCTAGAATAGATAATATGCTTGTCAATGCAGCATTCATCAGAATGGCCCTCAGATGAAACTTAGCTCTGAAATCTAATCAATTCACTGAGGGAGGAGTAGGTACAAAGGAAAAGATAGTGAAGCCGTGACAGAACACTTAAAGACAACTTCTGTTACCATGAATGAACACAATACATTTATTTTAGCCATCTGGTAATCAGATCTGGCAGACAAATTGGAGAAAGACTAGCAAAGAATAGGACCCTATAAATCACAGATACAAGCAAAATACAGAGGCTGCCCCAGCTTTCTCAAAGATGGTAAACTTTGAAGGTGTATTTTAATCCTTTAAAATTACTCTACTTTGTATCAAATAAGATAGATTACATGAACTGTCAAACTCTATGCAATTTCTTTCACTTCTCCAGATATAATTCATGTACTTGCAGTAATTTCTACCATTGGCATCATATCTTCTAGTCTGTCATATTCATTTCACTGTGGATCAGCTAGCTGTGCTGCTGGTGTCTGATTAGAATTCACTGTGAGGGATTTTATTTGGTTCCTACTGGGGTAGAAAATGTTTCTTCCTCAGACATTTCCCATATTTCAGAATAAGTTGAGAATTATGATAACACTAAACATTGTCATTCTGTCTCTGAAATTGTGAATGGGACACAACCTGACATGAAAATAATCTTAAGTTGTGTTTTGTGTGTGTGTTTTTTTCATTTTTTCTTTTTTCTTTCTTTCTATGAATCTATGCTTTCTGTCAGGACATGAATTTTAGAATTCTTATGTGTTAGAATTGCATCTTACAAAGTTGGGTGATCAAACTCCGTATTTGGGCACCTTGTTTGTCTTATTTTCGAGGCATTTAATAAACTGATGGTAATACTATATTTATGTAGGCATCTCTAAGAATTCTGTAACATGTATTGGGTTGTGGGGTTTTTATGTTGTGGGGTTTTTTGTTTGTTTTAGGGAGGGTTTTTTGGTTTTTGTTTTTTTTTTAAGATCATCAATGTCTTCAGTGCTAACTGAAATCAATGAGAGTTGCTGGTACTCAGTTTCTTTGACATTGCACACAAACATTTTAACGTTTTTAATGCAACTTGCAGTATATAGCTATTAATTTTCATACCTTACGAAGGCCTGGAAGGCAAAGATCTTTTTATTGTCAATGTGTTTGATCAAAAAAAAAATCTGCTTTCTTAATAATCTGAGTTACTTAGGAGAGCAGAAAAACTGAGGAGAATTTTAGTTGTCATTTGACTCCAGTTAGCACCTCTATGTTGCTGTATGTGAGTAAGGAATTTTGCACTTGTCCTTTCATAATGGGAAGAAAATGGAAAAGGAGAAAATGCTTTCCTTCATTAAAAGCTGCACTTAACCTTGTGAAATCTTAGCTCTGTGACAACTGATACTGCTTGTTCATACAGACAGCTGAATTTTAACTTTCTGCCTGTATTTGAACGTTATTGCCACAAGTGTGGTGCTTTGTAGATGTTGTTTTCTCTTGTTTCAGTTAGCCATCCTTATTTCTGTCAGTTGTTTACCTTTACTCAATTTGTTCTTCTGTCCAACACCTGCATTCATTTAATGTTTGCAGTTGGAGGCATTAGGTGGGTGCAACAGTCATTTGATGCTAATATTCACTTGGTGGTGAAGTAATGTGTTCTTGGAAGTTCCTTCTGTGCTTCAGTTTTTCTTTTTTTTTTTTCTTTTCTTAAATACTTTCCTTTACTAAGTGTATGAAATGGAAGTATTGACTGCAGTTAGGTTCCCAGTCTGTAGTAACTTGAGTCTTAGCTTAGAATGGATCAGTTAAGTAGCTCCCAAAAACCAAACAGATCTTCCTTTAATAAAATGCTTGTCTCTTTTGTACAAAGGAAAATAGCAAATTGTTTTTTAGAGCCTGTATTTGAATTTGTATTTTGTGGATATAGTTTGTGTGCTTAAAAAGCTTTTCTCAGTAGTATCTACGTAGACTTCTTGCCTAGCCATTTCATATACGTACGGCATTGCTGGCGCTCATGCTTATCTATGTTCATGAAAGAGATGTGGGACCATTTTTACACCGTGCTTTATGCATTATGATCCCTTGTCTTTACTTTTTGAATTTACAGTGCCTGAAAGCTTCAGCTCCTGTGCTACCTGTTGTAGGTAGAGAGTAGAGGAGCAATGAAGCTTTTTTCTAGCTCTAAGACTTATTGCTGTGCGGCTGAATTTTGGGTTGCTCACTTTCAGTATTGCTATACAACCTTTTATTCAGAAAAGATAACTTTCAGTCAGCTTTGCATGGGCTGTTGTTATTTCACAATCCATAAAGGTTTAAACCATTCCCTTCTCCTACTTCCATGTAGCAAATAATAGAAATTTCTCAGTGGTGATGCCCTGCAGTTGTACCACATTAAGTATAATTTTTTCTAATACTGCTTAGATTTGTTAGCCCACAGTTAAATTACATTCACCACCTTCAGCATCTCTTTTGTGTTTACAAAGTTAATGGCAAGTATAGTTGATTTTGATGTTAATGACAGTTCTGATCAAGACCAGGTATTCTGGTTTTAGGATGAGTTTCAAGTAGGAAATATCATGTGTTGTGGCATGTGATAATGAAGCCAATGTAATGTACCTGTCTGCTGGAGGAGAACTTTCTAAAGCTCCAGCCCCTCTGGTATGTTTCAAAAAATGCTGTGGTATTTTTATATTTATTTTCTTTTAATGCCTAAGTGCTTGTCTAAGCAGAAAGATGCTGTGGTGGTG